AATACAGGGTTAGTCTCATCTCTTGAAAAATACTGWAATAACAGCATCAGTTTTCTCGTGCTCTCTCCTTAGTTTGTTTGCGCTTAAGGTCTTTGCGAAAGAGAATTTCAGGAGGAGCCGACAGGGACTGTTCTTCGAAATAACTGTTCTTGTACGATTTTATTCCTGGGAAAGGGATTTTTAGCTACTTGTTGGCAATCTCACAAGCAAATGTGGCGACCTTCCTTCTTTAAAATAATTATGTTCCTGGCATAATATTTAATGTCAAAAAAGGCTTATACAACGGTTTTTATGGTCAAAAACGGCTCATATTTTTTTTAGTTAGGAAATATCTATTTTCCCGGACAAAATCCTTAGAACGTTTTCCTCGTCTGGTGAGTTCTTTTTCCTGAATTTCTCGCTGGCAACCAGTTGTGACTTACAGGGCTACTTGGACGAAAATTTCGAATCTTAAGAAAAGACTTGGAAATCAAATAGACCTATTCATATGGGTCTAATAATCATGAAGCAGCAGATTTCAAGAAGATATTGATACAAATCCTTGATAATTTGGGCAAAAAATGTTGGAGTACATGACGTCATTTACTCAATCCTTTTGTTCTTCCATCTTTTGAATCAAAATTTATCTGATGTGGGATAATTCCAAAACAAATATTTTCCCGCAATTGTTTTTAATTGATATCAATGAGTCATATATTTGTATTGCTTGAAGTTTTGAAATAAGGCCATTTTCATGCAAGTAGCACAGCTGGATGGGACAGAACAGATATATTTCTCCCAGGAACCCGTCGACTCCTCCTAGAATCTGTTCTCAAAATGAAACTGCGGCTTTTCAAGTATCTTAAGGAATAGCAGGAGCCTTCATTTTATCATAATCATCTGTTCTAGTATTAAAATAGCCTGTACTTACAATAATATTGACATCAGCTTTATTTTTTATAAGATAATTGACGACATGTTCGTGGCCACGATCACAGGCCCAGTGTAGAAGTGCCATCCCCTTAAAAACATTCAATACAGCGTAACGTTGTAATGGTTGTTTTAGAGCGTCTTGAAAGGGATTTTAGGCCCGGTCCATACGTCGATCCAGCGTCGCGCTAAACCAAATAGTTTGAATTTAGCACATGAACAGCTCGACGTCAGGTGCGTAGCGTGGACGTTTTGGCTAGTACGCACATGTCAGGGACCGCAACGACAACCAAAGGCGAGTCTGGACCTCCCCAAGAAATTTTGAAATATAACTCTTGGAAATGCGATTTCTAGCGTTTGAAGGACATCGAGRGCATATAAAAGGAATCAATTTTATGTGAATTTTTCAGTAATTTTTGTAAAAATTCCTTGCCACTAGTACGCACGTGCGTATATGTGTAAAGGACACTACGCGCCTGGACGTATGAATCAATTGAGTTCAGCGCGACCGTAGCACGGCAGCGCCAGTCGTGCTGCACGGAAAAATAAAATSTCGACGCTGATTCAAACGTCGATAATAATGGATGTAAACTGCGTGTTATCGGATTTTTTCTTATGCTTTTAACGCATTTGGTTCGATGTATGAATCAACGCCGTACCGAATGTATTTGGGTCGACACCAATAGTCTCCTTCACGGTTCACTGCGCCATCTTGAAAGGTAGCCGTGCCTTTACATCGAAGCGAGACGACCGTTGAGGGTGCAATCATAGAAACCTTCTTTCACACCTACAGACAATTATTCACAGGTTTCTATCATTGCACGCTCAGCGGTTGTCTTGCTTCGATGTAAAGGCACGGCTACCTTTCAACATGGCGCAGATAACCGTGAAGGGGACTATTGACTATTTGGTTCAGCGCGACGATACAAGATGTATGAACCGGGCGTATGACAAAAGAGCACTTTTTTCCACACAAATCTTTACAGTTAGTCTTTCGAGTTTCTTGTAAAAGYACTCACTTGATCATCTTTGACATTGATATCCTGACCTTCAGAGAGCATCAGGTCCATTCTTTTTACATTGCCCTCCTTGCACCAGTCAAATATTGTCTTGTTGGCATCACTAAGATCAGTTTTAAGAATATCGTTTAATACTTCGCATTAAAATCAACAACTTAGATGAGAACACTATTAAACTGMATGGCATACTGKATTGCATATTCAGGCCGATTCGCATTGGCGATTTTTTAGAGTTTTTTCCTCCTGTCGATTTTAWAAATATATAATATATTGTAGCCTCCTACTCCGTTAACTCTTTGTTYCTCATTTTGGCTTCCTTTCKAAYGGACATCCTGACCRCTAGGRACTGGTGACGAGAAAGAAAAACTCTTCGTTCACTCCCATTCTCCYTCTCCTGKCTCCMAGAAAAGGACAGGAAACCAGTGACTCTTTCAAGACAATTTCCTTTCTAATGATTATGTTAATGCCCCATTGAGTTCTTAGTTAATTGCTAACTAATTCTTATTACAGTTTCTGTTGGAATTGTTTCATGCCTTTTTCTGTGCATTCTACTACAGTAAAATGAAGTTAAACTTCTAAAACATAAGCCTGATACCTTATGATTTCTTCAGGGGATCCACAGCGTAAAGTACTAACAGCAAGACCCATGGCCTGTTTATCTTGGGTTTGATAGCTGGATGCTGATATTGCCTGGAAACAAACAAACAAACAAACTTGCTTCTGTTGTTTATTGTATTAATTTAGGCTTTATATCAAACATACAAACAACACTTTCTAAAGCTAACAAGCTACAATCAAAGTACACATTTAAACTCATTCCATAAAATCATTGGGAATGTTTCGTGTGCGTTGTGACTAATTCAATGCACTAGCCAAGTTCGAAGGTATCTTGTCTCTTCCTTTCCGCTCTTCTTTCTAATTTGGCACATTTTGTCTTCCTCAATATGACATTGAGAGACTGTGACCCAGAAGGAAAAGGAGAATGGATAAACTGTGCCAAAACACAACCAAAATCCCCACTCAAACAAGGGATACCACAGTGATCCCAAAATGGATGAGGAGTTGCCTTAATAGATGGCTATTTAAGCACTTGCAAGCCATTTTTTTCTACAGCACAAGTTCAAAACAAGGAAACAAATAGATAGAAACTCACATTTTTGTCACAAGTAACACATTTGATGTCCCATTCTGGATCAACAAGAAATAACTTCTTAATATAACTTGACATGGCTGTTTCTTTGTCCAAGTTACCTAAAAGCTTCCATGATTCCCTATAAAATGGAAACTTGTTAATTATCAGCAATTTTATGATAATAGTAGCCCTTAAAGGGACACTGTCAATGGATGACATGCGCGAGTAAACTTGAAAACATTAGGCTAGTGTTTTCAAGTTTACGACTCCAAGTTGGCGCGACGCATGACAAAAAAAGTACTTGTAAACGTAAACAGATCTAGAATATTCCAAGGTGTGTCAAAACATTGATTTAYCTCGAAGGTTGTAATACTTTCAAAGTCCGTTAGTTAAAGTCCGTCTGTTACTGCGCATGTCATCCATTGACAGTGTCCCTTTAAACRCACAATGGTTTATTTTGATTTTGTGAACTACAACTTGCATTCCACTCCAACCTCAATAATACAGTTTCAAATTCTCCAATGCTCTGTGTTAGCCTCATTTGTTCGCAAAATATTCCTAATTGCGAGAATAAAAGTGTGAGATTTCATATCAATTCTATTGTCTTTCTTTTCAAATTCCATGCATTTCTCGGGCTGTCAACAAAACAAAAGAATATGTTCCTTGTTTTTGAGGCTAAAACAGAGCAAACCAGAATTGGAACCCGAGTATTGTTTTATATTTAAGAAATAAAAAACGGCGCGCGTGTCTCTGTCCTCTGATATAAACACGGTGGGAGTTCGAAAAACACGAGAGAAGCAAGCTTAGGAACACGAGCGTAGCAAGTGTTTCTCTTGCTTCTCGAGTGTTTTTCAACTCCCACCGTGTTTATATCAGAGGACAGAGACACAAGCGGCCGTTTTATATTTCTTTTATAAAATTTTTCGAGCGAAAAGAAAATTTTGCCGGTAAGCCGTGTCTCTGTCCTCTGATATAAACACGGTCGTCAGCCAATCAGAACGCGCGTTATATATCAAAAATTTTATAAATAATACATAAAAATAGAATACATGGTAGTTATTTTCACAATAATGCATAATTTGGAAATGTTGGAGATCTTCACTATGTTTCTACTGTAAAAAACAGCTACAATCGTTGCCAAAAAACCTTGGACCATTATTCATGTCTCCAGGGTTGTCTGCTGGTGTTGCTTAAATGAGGAAATTCGCTGGAATGGTAAAAAGATTTTGTCAACGATTGTAGTTCTCTGGACATCTGACATCCATTTGACCGCTGTATTTTTATTTCTTCACATCACTACCACTTTATGTCTGGACCTGACATTTTGACACAGGAATCAGGTTGACAAGACACCCCTGACAAGTCCTGACACCTGAAAAGTCCTGATCTTAGTCCGGTCTTGACAGAAAATGACAGTTGGTTATAATAAAATATAAAAAGTTTGAACACCAAAGTACCATTTTGCTTTTCCAACGAAGTCCCAGAAAGCAGGTTTAGATGTCTTGCAAGGTCCTTCTCTAGCCTATAGAATCAAAGAAACATTTTGAGAAAAGTAATAGATTTACATTACTATTGAATGACAGTTTTGAGTCTTTGTTGCTGACGAAAAACGGGCCGTTGCAACTGCCAGAGCTTATAATTGCAAAAGAAAACACACTCTAACCTGCTTGAAAAGTCCGTAAAATAGAAGCTTATCTTCATCGCTAAGACCTTGAAGACTTTTAACGTAATCTGATGCTTCTGTAAAGAGCTGTTCCAATTCCTCATTGGAGTCAAAACTTACATCAACATCGTCGGCCATTTTTAACAGCTGTGTCATGAAAAACCGCTGGACAGACACAGGAAGCCCAATGCTTATTGAAAGGTTAAGGGGTGCTTATGTCACTGTTCTCTTTGATCCTCTTTGTGCTTGCTTGATCGTTGTATGTATCTGTATGTATGGTTTAAGATTGCGGCTCCCAGTCGACGTTTTTKATTGTTGTTTTATTCTGTTTGTTTGCAGTTTTTTCTTCTAATTTTTAAAATACCGGTGCCCCACCCCCTGGCAACAGGTAACGGCTAGATTTCGCTGATTTCACGGCATGGATCTGAACAACTTTTAGTCCTTTTATTAATCAAACAGATAAGATAAAAAAAAATATGTTTTCACATTCCTTAGTTTCTAAAATGTTTTCATTTCAAAAAGATTGAAATGTCGTCCACTCAAAACTACACCGTTTTCTACTAAAAACTCTTTGACACTYTTTCCTTCAACTAAAACAAGCCACTTTTTGTTTCTTCTCTGGATGACTTTGATAGCACCCATATCAACAAACTCTCCCAAACTATCTGCAATTTCAATAACTGAAGCATTTGGGAATTCTCGCTGGCTTTGGTRCTCTGARGAAAAGCCCARTCTGTAGAGAGTCGTGTCGGATTTCTTCTTCTTGTCATGTTCATGCTCGATAATAAGTATTGATTCGCCTCCTCTTGTCTCTATTCTGCTATTCARGGAAAGATGGGGGAGCAATTGATTTTTCGCGCGCGAATTTGAATTAACTGTTTGAATGTTTTTATCAACCATTTCTCTTTCAGAACCGTCCCCGCACAATCGCTCCCTCAGTGAACGAGGAATTCTRGGCAGCAATTCTTCGTCTGTAACCCCTTGTTCTTTTATCTTTTTAATCCATATTGATTGCTCTTTTCGCTCGAGAATCCTCATGTCATAAATTCCAGATTCGCTTGATTTTAGCATTTCAAGAAAATTCGTCGAAGTTTTTGGTGATATGGTAGTACTACTGCTCAGTGAAAGTTCAGTAACTTTACCAGGGAAAGCGTTGTATAAGCTACGCCTTTGATCAATAACCTTCAGTTTTCTAACAGTTTCTGGTTCTTCGTAATRTGATTTTCTTTTTGAAAATGTCACTTTTCTAAGCTGTCCAGGAACTTCGAGATTTGCGGTTTTTGTGGCGGAAGTATTTAGTTCTYTATTGATARTTCTAGAACTCCTTTTCTTAMAACTTTGYGTAGMTGTTTTATCAGTGTTTTTRCATTGAAAATTTTTGGKYTTTGATTTCTGATAATCTTTYGTAACTTTCTTTGAAGGTYTCCTTTTTGATGTTGATYTAGACGTAATTCTTCCGCAATTTCTTGAACTAAGATCGTCGTTATGACAACCAGGCGCTGTTGCGGGTCGCTTTCCCACAACATCTTTCTTTTGAATTTCTGTTTTTCCTTCGAATTGAACGCTGTCCACATCTCCTAAAATCTTTACAATATTTTCATCGCCATTTTTCTCAGGAAAACATCCAACACAGCCTGCTCCAGTGCAAATAATCTCACCAGCGCGAGTCGAATGTTTTCGAATATTTTGATAATACGGAGCAGAATTTAGTATTTCTCCGGTGAATTCCATGGAAATCTCTCCTTTTTATGCGATTATTTCTTGGCTTCGAAGGCGATAATCCCAGAGCTATTAAATAAGATAAAATCCTTCTGATAAATTGCCATTAATACCCCCAGTATTCATTGATGGCACTCATTTGTAAATGTTTTCTTTTGTGCCTTGTTACTGAGAAGCGAGCAAGCGATTGKGAAAAATTGGCTGTGATTGGTTGGTTTGTGGTCTGATTTTAKATTTGCATTGCGTGGATTCGCTCTGTAGGTGATCAGGAAACACATTCACAGCGCTAGCCGATCCGTATCAAAAACCTGAAAAACAACCTCAAAGCGCATGAGCAAATACAAATGACAAAAGCCGTTTATAAAGAAAAATATAATGAAAAGAAGCCGATTCGTCTAAGCATAGGCTAAATACTGACTTGTGRATCCGAGCGTGATAAAAATAATAAAAAAATGACGACAAGTAAGAAAAAAAATCAAAATGAATTCTGTTAATCCAAAATTTGAAAAATTTTACTAATTCGTTTTTTTCGGTGTTCATTGCCGAGAAAAAAAGCGGAAGATTACATGATGAGTCCAGAAAAAAAATCCGTTAGCATTTTTATTTAAAGGAACGCATGAAGAAAGAAAAAATTCAGAACTAGTGATTTTGACGATCTATTTTGGCGTCTTTCCTATTTTCGTTTCTTTCTTTTTGCTTTTTTCGATGTTTGTATATATCCAGTTGGGTTTCCTATGCTTAAAAAGAGAGGAAAGCTGGGTATGACAACTTGGGATTCCATTGTTACCTAGCAACATGGCAATAGCTAACATGGCCGCTGAAGTGTGATGTCTTTGTCAACCATTTCTCGTTGAATCATGGAATTCATCTTATTTTGATCGTATTCTTTAGACCTTAACATGGTATTTGACGGAACAGACTTTGTCAAAACTCCTGACAAAAGATTGACTCCGAAAACTCCCGGAAAATCGAAATTTGACAGACAAAGAGCCGAAGATGTTGTTCGCAACGCTCATGAAAGAGGTTACCTAAAGGCCGCAACGGAGGATGCAATATGGGAAAATATCGGCGAAAAATGCGACCTGGATGATATAAAATATTTAAACATGAACGGCATTCATCTACACACTGTTCGCAGTATTGATTATTGTAGAACGTTGCGGATTTGTGTTTTGTCGTGTAATTATATAACAAGCTTTGATGTACTCGGACATTGTCGWCAACTATTGTTCTTGGACCTTCACGATAACCAGGTAAGAWGTCTATTGTATCAAGCGATGTGTACTCGTACCACAATATATACTTCGGTGATGGAAAAACTGTGCTTATGTGATAATGAGGGGAATTTGATAATGAGTGGTTTTAGGACAAAAACACCTTGACTTGATTATGTTAAAATATCATTAACAGTCAGTGTGCACCACAACAATTACTAAATGTAGAAAGTTCTTTTTGCCAATTATTTAACTAAACAAGCTTGTTCTCAGTCTTTGGAAAACCCTTAGCTCTTATTACTATCCAGCAGAGCATTGTCAAAACACAATAACTCATATTTATACTAACATTTTTTTAAATGTTTCATTAGGTTACAAAAATTCCTGGTCATCGGTTCTGGGCAGGTCTCCAAGAACTCAAAGTKGTCTACCTACATAACAATGGAATCTCTAAACTTGAACAGATCCAGTACATGGCCTCRTCATCTAGTCTGTCAATCTTAACACTATTTGACACACCCCTCAGTCTTAAACCTAACTACAGACATCATGTTGTAAACAGTGTTTGGACTTTGAAAGCATTAGACTATCAGGTCATATCTGATGAGGAGATTATTGAAGATGCTACATTTGGTGGCCATTACGCTGCTGG